TAACCATCTTAACAGTCCCACATTATTGGTTCCTAGAGAATCAAAGTAGATTTGCCAATTAATCACGAAATGCTATGGTTCTTACATATAATTTCTTAATTTCTTCAGAAGTAATTCGCGAGATCATGCACCTCTCTTTCCTAGTTATAAAGGAAAAAGGTCCAGAATGAGACGAGTCATGGGTCCTTAATGATGTGATTTAGTGTAAGCATGGTTCTTTTTATATCCAAGTGTTTTTTTTTTATAGTATATATTCTTTTATTATTATTATTATGTTATGTAATTTGGACTATTATAAGTTATAAGTATTTTCTACTCCTTTATTCCTTGATTCAGCTTTTTATCCTTGTTTATATTCTTCTATAATTGTACTATATTTGGATTAAAGCATTTTTTTTTGAATTGTTTATTAGATTAGGGATTCAAAATCGAGTTCGAGTAGAGAAGTTTCCAATGTGATTGTTCCCGAGCGAATCGAATTGGCTTGAATGAGGACTAAGATTAAAGATTTTATGTATGTACGAGACCCAAAAGAATGCTTTTGAAAGAAGAAAATGAAACTAACTAAGACCACCGCAGCCCTTAGCAAGAGCTGTAGTAAGGAACACTGCTAAAACGATATTAGCAACTATAAAGCCAACAGCGCGACCTTTCCTGGTGACCGATTCAGTATCCAAATTCTCTTTGGTTGCTTTCGCTTTCGTCCTCTCTTTTCCTTTCATGAAGCGGTGTTCCCATGGAACATGTTGAAGACTGCTGGACGATTTTGGAATGTCGAAGAACATCTCCTCCACTTTAGCTTGGATGAATTTTGCCCAAGTTTTGAAGAATTTTATGCTATCTATGACCTATCGGTTCAGAACGAAAAAATGTTAATTCCTTCCCTAATTCAAGTAGTCATTTATTTGAGACCTCCCAAATAGCAGGAACTGTCATTCTAACTCTTCTTGGGGATTCCATCCACAAGCACAAAGTTTACTGTGATCAATAATGCTCATCATCATCTAGCTATTGCATTGATTTTTCTTGTTGTTGGTCATATATATCGAATGAATTTCAGGGATTCAACACAATATCAAAGATCTTTTAGAGCAATTCGTAGAAGTGGTATGCTATTAACTTTCGTACATGGAAAAAGATATGTGTAGAAATGAATATTGAAAAATTTTCAAAAGAAATAAGAGGAATAAATGATTCGATCAAATGAGAAAAATAGCATTTGTTTATGTTATAATTCCATCTGCTGCTAGTGTATATAATTTATTCTAGTGTACTTCTTCATCAAGAAAAAACGATATATTTATACATGTATGTCGGTAAATGTATCAACTTAACTTCAACTGCCAAAACGAGATAGTTGGGTGGCTTTTGTTTGAAGGATAAGGTTGCAATAAAATCGCATAAGTACCATGTTTAATAAAGTACTGAGTTGAGTATCGTTCTCAATAAGATTGAGAATTAAGTTCCAATCCAGTTAAAATCTAGCTCTACGTTGAACACACATATTTCAAAATTTGGATGCTAAATTGAAAAAATCAAATCGTAACAACACTAGGATTTGGAATCAACCTATTTTTCCAATTTAATCTTGAATATTGTAGTTGAAAATACATGAATTGTTTTGAACAACTTTAATTTATTGTTACGTTCAGATATTGGGCCTTCACCATGTCTGGACAGGCGTTTGGAGAAGACCACATAAATTAGGGGTTGTATTGGGCCAGTTCGAGCTTGGCTAGGCTCATTTTATTCATTTGGCTCATGGGCTTCACTGGTCGAGCCAAGTCAACAAGCGGTTCGACCCGTTTGCCATCCCTACACATAAAAGATAGAATTATGGCCCATTTACTAGCCGCGTGAATCCAACTTCAGGAGAGAAATTCAAGTGGTACCCGGCCCATTAGTGCCCAACTAGCTGGCAAAATCAATCTTTTCACATCTAAAGCTCCCCTTTTGGCTTATGATCTTACTGCCATCAAAACATTATTCAAGAATTTAGCCAACTAACAATGTTACCCCATGTTATGGTTAGTTAACTCTCTTTGTCTTAACTGATGATATATACACGCCAAATATTCATATATTCTTTCACAAATAAACACTGAAAAATCAACTGCTAATATTAACAAATACGTCTGGTGTCTAATCAAGAATCAAGATATCAGCTAGGGCCATCTGAGTGACTTCAATGATCTAAAATCCAAAAAAGCCGACAAGTCGATTGAATAAAATTAGCAAGTTGACAAATCATGTCAATTTTATGCCAGCCTTATAATTCAAGATAATGTACATGCAAGAAAGATTTGGATCCACTTCATCTAGATATGCTCCTTCGTTTCCATACTCAAATCTTAAACAATTGTATCATTAACATTTGAGAATTATTTGGAGATTTGAGGTTTAGTGGGGACTCGTACTTATTTTGCCTTTTTATTTATATATTGTCCTCTTTATTCTAAGCCTTACCTAACACATGTTAACACACTCGACAACTCTATTAGGTACAATCGGGATCCATTGCTATGTTTATTGTGCCCATTTTTATTTTTATTTATTTATTCCTTTTGGCAATATTAAAATATTGGTACTGATAAGGATACTTGTATTTATATTAAGCACTTGTTTGAGCCCCATTTTTGTACGAAAATGTATTTTTGAATAGTGATTTTTGAAGAATATGTGGATAAAAAATAAGGAAAATTTTCGATTTACGTGTAAAATTATTTTATGAATGAATTTGATTGAAAATAAATTTTAAAAAAAATGAGATTCAAACATAGGCTAAATTGCCCTTGTTGTTAATTATATATAATATCTATTTAATCTTCATTTTTTAAAATTCACTTTCAATTATATATTTTGTGAGATGCACAATATTTATCAATTTTAACTACAAATTTTATCAATTTTATTAAAATCTACTAAATATATTACACATAAAACACATTCTCCAAAAAATTACTGTTTTAAAATATATTTTTTCCCAAAACCTCTATTTAATGGAGCCAGAATAGGGGCTATGATTTTTAACTGAACCAAACAGGGGCATGGTTTTAACATCGCATGCCTAGATGTCTAGTGTACAATATTAGAAGGGATGAGACAAAAAAATTGTACTATTTGTTTCCAATTTACTGTTCAAATAGCGCGTTGGTACTCGTCGGGTGGTGTCAATCTGACAAGCCTAATATGGTCTACCAAGGATTATTCGATAAAAAAGTGACCAATTCTCTCGACACGATCGATCCGCTCATTATTGCACCTCTATGCACAATTAATCTCCAATTGTGAAAATTGTTTAATCTCTTTTAAATTGTAAAGTGACATTTAAATTGTAAAAAACAAAAACAAAACAAGTTGCAATTAAATGTCCTAAAATGATGACACGGTTGATTTCTTATTCTTTGCTGCTTTTTTGTTTTTTAAAGGAAAAGTTATTCTGCTTTACAAATACTTGTTCTTATCTTCCCTTACATGGGAAATAACCTATTCACATGCCACCATCTACTTTTCGAAAGTAAAAAATAGTTGGAAGATTCAATATTCCTTGCAAGACAAACTAGTTCTTTACGAAAGCAGGTAAACAAGGTTGGCACCTAGTTAGTGTGTGAAAAAGAAAGGGTGGGAGAATTCTGTAGACTATTACTTTACACTTTACAGCCACTTGCCTGTCTTTATTCACCCCAATCTTGACTTCTACTTCTTTCCTCCTTTTCGAGTAAGATAGATTAATTGACACACTTTTCATATCACTATTACAATGACTTTGTCGGTATACTTTTTGGAGCAATGCTATTTTTTTAGTTCTCGTTATGGTCTGTTTGACATGATTTTTAAGAAATTGAAAAATGAGTTTTTAAGATTTAAAAAATTTCTTTTAAATTCTTTTGATTAATTTTATAAAAGTATTTTTTCGAATGAGTTTTTTTTTTCTAGTTAGACGAGATTTAATAGGAAGTTGATTCAATGTGATTTATTCTAAAAGCTCTTACTAAAGAACAGTTCTTCAAGAATTAGTTTTCAAACATCAATTAAGGTAACTCTTTCAGGAAGTTCTTCCATAAGAAATAGAAGGAAGTACATAAACACTATCAAACGGCCATCAATGTCAAATTAGTGTTTGTCCATAAGCAGTGT